ATTGAGTGAAACCTATATAAGCAATCTCCAAACAAAAAAAAACCTTTTTGCCTATTTCTATACAAAATATATTTAAAACATCACACAAATATTCTTTCTTTTCAAATATCCATATATACGTTAAAAGACAACATTTTATTTTTTCAGAATTTTTGTTTTCTGCTGATAATAACTAATGCCAGGTTAATTGACATAACCTTCTGACTAGTTATCAGTTCTTGTCCACTTTTATATACAAAAAATTGAAATCAGTTTACCCTTATCAAAAAATTTACAATATACAAAACACTAATAATATTCTGTATTACCTAACTATATTAAAACAATACAATAATTTACTGGATTGAGAAAGTGCATGATCAGTACCCTGCCAAGTTCTGGTAATCACAATATAAATAATCTACTATAATAAAACAACAAATATCTGGAACGTATTCCAGTTACACTATTATAACACCACAATATAGCCACATTACATAATATCAACATATTACAATAATCACCTGACCAAACTTATTAAGTTATATGTGGCTTGTGCAATGCTATCATTTGATTGAAACAATTATTTGTATTCAGGAACCACATCTAACAAAAGTTTCAATACTTTTTTAACACATTTTCTTTTTATTTTTTTTCTTTTATTAAACTGGCAATCTTGTTCCAAATGTTTTTTTATTTTTTATTTTTTTTAGTAAATAGTTTCTTTCTTTTTTTTGTCTGTTCAAGGTTTTTTGAAAATATATCTATTACAATAGGTGGTAGACTGATATGTATAATCATATATCTCATATCTTATTATTGATTATGTAATATTATATATTTACTCTATAAATAAAAATCATAAAAAATGTCTTACCTTAACATTAAAAAAAAAATTCTACAAAACTGCTTATATATTATATAAACTTTAACTTAAAAAATTTTTAAGTTTATTTAAGATTAACTTTTATTAAAAAATTTTTTTTCTAAATTAAAAATTTTGTTTTTAATTAAACTTTAAATTTTATTAAATAAATAAAAAAACAATATTATTAATAGATAATATATAATTAAAGCTAATATTATATAAATTTTTAGAAAAATATTTTAATTGTTAAAAAAAATAAATAAAAAGTAACTTTTTAATTAAAAAATTTTAAATATTATAAAAAAATGTTCTATAATTTAAGAAATATACAATATATTTATTAATAATTAAACTTAAAAATTTATTAAAATATAAATTCATGAGTCTATAGTACAATAATTAATACTTCACAAATTAGATTATAAGATACTAATTTAACTTTAAATAAAGATAATTAAATAGTATTAATATAATATTTAATATTATAACTTATTAAGTATCATTATTTATAAAAAGCTATTTTATATATTAGTTTAGTAGATATTAAGATCATAACTTTTAAAAAGAAGATATAGTGATATAATAATTATTTAATAGATAATATAATAATTATTAAAAATAGTCTTATAGTAGTTGAACAAAATAATATAAATATATTTATTTAACTTTTTTAATTAAGACTTTTTTGATATTTAAATATATAAATTAGATTTGTATTCTATTTTAACTAATCCTGATATTACAAATATAGTCAAGACAGAATTTATATTAGGTTAAATAGTTTAAAAATAAATTTTATATTATTTTTTTTAAATATTAATTAATAGAAAATAAATTATTAGATTAAAATAATTTTTGAGATATAAAAATAATATTATATTATTTAAAATAAACTTTAAAAGATTGTTATAAATTTGTTATATAACTAGAACTATTATAAATTATTATATTTAATTGTTTTTATTAATTTTATATTTGAATTAATACTTAATAAAACTTATTAATTATAATTTTTATAAATTTTTGTATTAAATATATTAATTCAATTCTTTTTACATAAAATTTTTTAATTTAGAAAAAAAATATTTATACTTGAGTTTACAGTATACTTTAAATTAAATTTATTTAATTTGTATTATAAATAAAATTTGTAATTGTATAAAAATTAAAGATATATTATAAAAGTAAAAAAAAACAATAAATTGAAATAAAAAATCATTTAAAAAAAAATGAAATAAAAGTAATTTGAAAAGAAAAAAAAATTATTAAATATAAAAAATAAATATATTAAAATCTAATTTGATTTTATTTAAAATAATATATAAAGTTTTATTTAAAAATATTTATGTTTTTTTTATTTTTAATTTTTGTTATACATAGTATATTAAAAAAGAATTCAAATTACTTAATATAAAATCATTTCTTTATTAAATAATAAACAATTAAAAAAATCTTTTATATTAACTAGTATTTTTCAAATTTAATTTAAAGCAGATATTAAATATATAAAAAAAAGCTAAAAAAATAAAATAAAAAAAAGTAAAAAAGTTTTTTTAAACAAACTATTTTATAATTATTATATTAGCAATATTTATATTATATCAGTTAATTATAACTCATTATAATAAAATTTAATAATATAACTTTATATTTTGTAAGATTATTTATAATATTAATATCGAATAATTATAAATCAAATATATTTTATTTATAAAATTTTTTACAAATTTTTAAAATATTAAACATATATTCAAAAATATTGTTAATAATAAATTGGTTTTTTAATATTTTTTATTTATAATAAATAAATGCTTACATAACTATTTAAATTATTAATACATTTATTTTAATTCATATTATTAATATTTTTGTATTGCCACAATTGTAAATTATTTAATTTTACTTTTTATCAACTAATTAAGATATCAAGATATTATGTATTAATTGAATTTTTAATTTGCAATGTTTAATGAATTTTATTTAAATCAAGTTTACATTATAATTTATAAATCTAAACAACATTATCAAAATCTTAATATCCTTAAATAAATCAAATAGTTAGATGGTTTTATGAATTCAAATTATATCATCAAAACTTTATTATTATTATTCCATTAAATTTTTTAATGATTTTTTTTAATTATTAAAAAATTTTTAATGGTTACAATATTTAAATAGAATAAATGGGTAGTATTAATTTTTGGTTTATTTTTTTTTTTAGATTCCGTTATTAATTTTATTTTTTGTTGATATAAAATAATTAATATAATTATGAATGTATTCGTTTTAATAAAATCTCATATGTGATGCTTATTTACAGTAAAATGAATAATTCATAATATAAATATAATTTAATTAGAAGATTAATATCTTTTATTTTAATAAGCAATTTAATATTAATTTTCAATGAAATTTTATGAACAAACATTTTATCAAATCAATAATACATTTATTTTTTAATTCAAAAGTTCCTTACAAAACTTTAAATCAATCAATCAATTTTTTTTATCAATATTTGAATGTTTCTTAATTAGAATTTTTATTTTTAAAATTTACTTGGGTATATTACTTTGTTTCCAAGCATTTTTAAATACCATTAAGTTTATATTCTTGAATAAATTATTATTTTAACATTCAATAATATACCGTATATACTATATATAAAAATTGGATATCCAAATACGTATTTGCAGAAAAAATATTTGTAAAAAAACTTGGATTGAAAAATGGAATTTTTGATACACAATAAATAGCGATATTTTCAATTTACAATTTTATAGGGTTACCTGCGTATACCGTTGAATTCAAATGACTAGTTTGTTTCTTATACAGAAAGTCGTGATATAATGCAAAAAAGAGTGATATGATTTAAAATTAGGTAATTATGGATTTGAGGTTAATGTATCTTTATTAAAACGTTAATACTATCGAATGTGAATTGGAATATGTGACCTATTGTTGGATAATAGTGGGCGCGATATCACGACGCGACTTCGCGTTACGTAATTGATATTTTTATGGAGGAAGGATGACACTCGTACAAGTGTGGCGCATGAAATTAGCATGTATAAATATAACTGTAAAACGAAGTAAATATAGAATGCTATTCGATTACATCTAGGTAGCTTAAAATAAGAAAATCAAGTATAAACTCTTAACTGTGTTACCTGTTATGTAAACGCTATTAACTTACTCATGTAACTGTATGAACCGAAGTTTGACTAAAAAGTATGGGAAAATTCTAGCGACCAATCAGAGTTCATGGTATTGATCAAAAGGTATAAAGTTAATAATCAACAGACGAACATTCAAATTGATGGATACCTCAAGAGTTAAAACTTTAATTAAATATTTACCTCACGATACCTTGCGCTTCCGTAACGTTGAGGGTTGGCCCCAAATTCACAAAAGTTCCATAAACTCCTAGTTATGCCTTAATAAGGTTATGGCATCAGATTATGTCACATACTGCGACTTTTAAACTCTTGTATTTATGTAGAAATTTAAAAATATTCAAATATCCATACCTTTTCTTTTTAACTCGAATTCTATGATGATAACCACCTAAAGTATCTATCTACTCATATGATCAATACTATTACATTCCTGATGATATTCAAATCCCTGAATTAATTCTCTAAATTGAGATAACAATAATGAACAACGTATGTCTCATTAACACCAACCATTATTGATAATACAGTATTCGGACCTATGTTCATTTTTTCAGCGCCATCTCAAAAATATATATAATACTAACTTAAGACATTGCACCAGAATAATTGATCTTAGCCGAAGTTGGATAATATTCGAACATCTTTCTAGTTTCTCAATACAATTGCAACCTGCAAGAATGCGTTAACTTTTTTGAATCATTGTTTATGAGCATGTCTATTATATCTCTGACATTGTTCCTTGCTTGATGAATATTGATCGCTTAGGGTAATAATTAATATTATATCCTCTTATTTATTCCTCGTCTACATAATTCAAACATGCTTAACACTTAATACTGTAGAATGACAGTCTGTTTATGTACATGTGACAATAGTCGGACTTGAGGCATACGTGTGCATTATGTACAGTACAACGTAGTACTAGCCCTACTGAATTTGTTAAGTACGCAGCTTACTTTTTTTTACTGCGCTTTAGAATGTCTTCTACGCTTGATCCTCACAATTCGCCCTTTAAGCCAACGAGCGAGAAAAACAAACAACAGGGTTTTGTTTCCAAAGAAAGCACCCAAAATAACTTAACTCAATGGACCAGTAAAAGAGGTCGAGTATGGAAATATTTTGTAACACCAGATATTTCACTCGATGGTAAAATTCGTAAAGCGATATGTAAACTTCCCGGGTGTGGAAAAGAGATTTTTTACAGAGGCTCATCATCAATATTGAGATATCATTTAAAACAATGTCATAACATTGTTGTGAATGCAAACTTAAACAAGTTAGCTACTCAAGATCAACAACGAATTCTATCTGTGAATCATACTGTAAGTCGCAAAAAGTCTAAAAAACTTGATTCCTCAAATTTCTTGCAATTTGTTAAATCTAAGAATTTCCGGTATCACATACCTGAGATCGCTAAATCACAAATAATTGATTCTTACGATCAGTTATTTGACAAACTAGAAAACATGCTTATGCAGGTCAAACATGTATCATTAGCGATTGCAGTCTGGAAATTCGACGAGCACATTTCATATATGGAGATAACTTGTTATTGGCTTTCGGATGATTTTCTATTGAACGAAATTCTATTAGACATAATTCCTATCCCAAAATTTTTTAATGAGGAAGAAATCAGTGAAATCCTTGATGACGTTTTCAATATATGGGATTTACATGGTAAAACCATTTCAATAACTAGGATGGAGTTATGGGATCCAATACACACTGGAATTGAAGACTTCGAATACAATATAGGTGTTAATTGCATGTCTTACGTTAAGGACTTTACAAAGTTTATATTAGAACCGGATCTTGAACTTAATATCGATGTTTTTCAAGATAAATTCAGGGAATTAACAAAAAAGGAAAAAGATATCATTAAGGAGCAAGCGAAAAAGATTGGTCTCGGTGTAAAAAACTCCAAACAATTGATGACTTATTTAGTTACGCATGAATATGAATTTATTAAGAAGGCACTTAGCAACACCGAAGATTACAATGCTGATGATCTTCTTCAACATATCAATAACGAACCGGCATTTATATTATATGCATTGGAATATATGATAGTATTAGAAAATCCGATTAGACAATGGATCGTTACATTGTCCAATAACTCAAAGACCGCATCTAAAGCAAGATGGATAAGTAACCTACTGCCAGATGGTATGACCATTAGATTCTTTACCAATATGGATGCATGTTTTAAACAACTAAAAGTTGTTATGCAAAAACTTGGTGAAACAAAAGATAAACTCCATACTTTATTAACCGAATTTCTGAACTTGAAAAGACATTTGGAGACATATGATAAGAAAATAGAAGAGCACGCTAGTCAAAATCAAATATTTATAAACGAAATTCTTGCCAGGTTTATTATTCATAATATCTTTGTCGCACTTGACGATAAATTTTGTAATATGTACTATAAACTCGCATTATTTAATCCACGATTCGACAAAGATATGTTTAAAGATGTAGGCATTTTTCATACATACGTACATTTCTAAGAATTTTATTAATTAATATTGCACCTTAACAGGACCATAGATTTAAAAAGGCCTCTGAAGATATTAAACAGGAATATTCAAGATTACGCAAGAATAACCCATTACTTCAAAGTTTATCGACTGATTCTAAATTAAGCATTGATGAATTGGAAAGTTACGAGATGTTATTGCAACATAATAAAAGTGAATGCAATGATCCTATTAATTGGTGGAGAGAACATAAGAATGAATTTCCTACCATGGCAAAGCTCGCGCAAAAATATTTGGCCACTCCTCTGACATGCTATTCTCTCGAAGAATCATACTCCAAACATTGTAAAGATTTTGAAATTTTAATGAATGATCTTGTGGATTTTGATATGACCAAAAAATTTAAATTTCTCAAGCATAATATGAAGTATTTATGATAGAAAGGTAAGGACAAATATGCTATTTTAAATTACAGATTTTTATGTATTTCGATCCGGACCTTAATTTCTAAAATTTTTTTTTATAATTAGAAAATTCAGGTATTTTTGTGATTCAAAGTAATCATTTTGTCATAACGTCGAACATGAATTTTTCAAAGTTTTACATTTTTTTTTATTTTTAATCTGAGAAATAACTAATTAAAAATTATACATTTAAGATTTATTCCCTCTGCTTTCCTTTATTATCATATATTTTTCTATTTCTAAACTCCTTTTTTAACATATCCTCTTATAATAAATAACAATTACAATTAGAATAATTCCAGACTGAGAATCAGTCATTCCAATTGTTTTTGCGGATTAAAATCATTGATTTGGGATTGCAAAACTTTTAGGTTTCTTGTGCTGTTTCTCGATGGACAATTGTGAAAATATTCGTAATATGTTTTACTCGGTTCATTTATACAGTATTGACTTAACATCTAAACAATCGAAAAAAAAGTGATATAATAAAGGGGTGTATTAAAAGTACGATTGATCATAGTGTGTGGTTGCATTTACAATGTAATTTTTTTTTAAAATATATATATATACAGTATATACATATGTTTATTTAATAGCATTTAATATTTATATCATCGATATTAACAGATTCAAAAAAAATTAATTATTATGTAAGTTATACGAGTACTGTAGTCAGTTGTTAATCAAAGTGTAGTAAAAGGTTTTATCAAATCTTTCCATCCAACAACACTACGTATACGTTTTTATCAACCATTATTATATACCGTTACTTGAAATAGCTTGACGCAATCTCGGTATTATGCATGTGATGGTTCAAACATACTGAAATACGTAACAAAAATAAATGAGGTCTTATTTTTATTGTATAAGTGTTTTTAATCTTAAACTATTTAATATACAAACTAAAAAATAAGAAAAATATTTGTTTAAAACCCCCTGCATCAACGATAGCCTTGATTCTGTGTGATAAACTGCACAAAAATTCTTAGTTTAAAAGGTGTTGATAAGTCTAGTGTATGTATGTCCCGTACATAATTTATTCGGATAATTCTATCGCAAATAAAGATATCCACGTTAACTATTAACGAATTTTTATAAATTAAATGAACATAAATACTTACGTTGTGCGATATATCGTCGAATTATGAAATTTAAAAATTTACTTGACGCTCCGGAGTTAACAACGTCAACACTTTCTTTTGTTTTTCTTTCTTCTGTCAAATCCTTTCGACATTTTTCGGCAGAAATAAAGCTCTCTTCTTCATCTATATTTTGAAACCATTTACTCAGCTGCTGTTTAATTTCCCTCATACTCGGTCGATTATCTGGATTATCACTCCAACATTTTTTTATCAAATTTTCAAAGACAAGTGGTGTATCCTTTGTAACTTTAGGTCGTAATCCATCGATAATTTTTAGCATAAGAATAACATCGTGATCTATATCATTAAATGGTTGATGACCTGAAGTAAATTCCCACATAAGCATTCCAAAGCTGTACACATCAGATGCTTGAGTAAACTGACATTTCATAAGAACCTCGGGCGCTAAATACGGTATCACTCCACATGCTTTATCATAATCAGAAGTTGATAAATTTTTGCATAAACCCAGATCAGCTATTCTAATAGAACCAGAAACACCGTTTACTCCTAATAAAATGTTTCCCGAATGAATATCACAATGAATTAATCCTCTATTATGAATTTCTTCAAACCTACATGAATAAAATTATTTCTAATAAATAAATAATGATTAGCTCGGCAGTATTTACACGTAGATATCTACCCTTCTGCAATATAACTCAGCTTTTCAATCTTTTCTTTCCATGTGATATTTTCAAAACATTTTAATAAATATTGGTGCATACTTCCATCTTCTGCATATTCCAATATCATCATATAAACATTTGTAACCGGATCTTTTGTAATACCTAGACACCGAAGAATAAATCTACCCAGACTTTCTTCTGAAATAATTTTGTTAGCCAACAGCTATAATACATAGAAAGGAAAAATAACCATTTATATATTAAAAACTGTCAATATAATCAAGCATCAATTGAATTCAATTAAACTTACTTCTTTTAGAAAGTCTATGGTAATATTTCCGGAACTGTGTAAACTTTTAAGGGCTACTTTAAGGTTAACTCCAGAATCTTGAATCAAATCAGCTTTAAATATTTTTCCAAAACCTCCGCGCGTAAGATAATTTACATTTTGAATTTTCGAATATTGAATCC